AGAAATATTTTGAGATATACAATACACAAAGTTTAATGGACGCTGCACTTGTGATTCATGTATGTTGTTTTATGACATTACGTCACCGCGTGTCGCATTGTTGCACTTGCCGAAGAACCGTCGAACCGATGTATATATTTCTCTGCGAAAAATTACAAACTGTTAAATCATCTCGTCACGTGTATCGAAAAAGGTTGCGTTATTAGCTTCGACATTTTAATGTTCTCTACCTTTGATCTTTTTCAATCTACATATATATTTTTGAGAAAAATTGAGCCTTTAAATGAAAACACAACACATAATAAAATAGAGAAATATCACCGACGGTTGTAGATGCAGATACTTCTCGGAGACAGGAGTATTTTTTGCGGTCAGCTCAGGGGAAAAAATTCACGCTCGGCTTATATCATATCACGTTTTCAAGGTCGTGTCGCGCAGCTAATCACTGATCGCGCGCTATCAAGAGCAAACGGAAACTCCACCTTAATTCTAAAACTTTCTTTGCTCGCTATAGGTGCTTCGCAACCGATGAATAATGCACTACACTATATGACAGCTGCAAAATATGCAATGACTGTGTTTCGTGCGGCAAGTTTACAAAATATTAAATGCTGCATGTACGGCTCTTATTCGCTCGGCATGAAGCAGATATTAAAACGCGATAAAAAACACTCGATGATAGTTGAGATACGGCCGCACACGAGTACTCGATTCGTTGCGTATAGGTGTATGTATGTGCGAATGCGAGACTAAGACACCTTCTTGCCGCGCGGCACCACACGCTCTCGCGCACTGTTTTACCTGACGTCATAATTATACATACATGTTTACTCGTTTTGTCAGTGGAAAAGCGAGGGTTTATGTCATGGAAGTATAAACATTGTGTAGCATTGTCTGCTTCCTATTGTCTATTCTAACGCAACAGACATACACAAAATGTGTCTGGTGAAAGATAAAAGAGTCACTTTGGCTGATTAATTATAAGTATGTACTGTAATTAGTCAGTGACAAATTTCTTAATTTCCAAGAAAGTGTGCAAATTCAAAAAACCGCACTCTGTGCGCTATAATAATATTATCCAATTCGATTAGAAATGATCTAATAGCTTGTTATGCTTGTCCAATATCGAAGAATAATCGGGGAAAATTACTCTTACATAAAGAGTCGAATTATCTTTGAATTTTTCGCCCAATCTTGAGGTTTATAAGAGTACTCGACCTTGGCTCGCGCGTTATTAGATTACATGCAGGTAGATACCTGGCAGATGATACGATTACGTAAGGACTACTGGCGCGCAACTGCGCAACGAGCTCTATAGCGATTTCATAGTGCTTTCTTCCAAACTCCTGCTGCATCTATAGGTGCAGGCGGAAAAAGAAAAATTGCGAGCGCACGTTTTTTGGGCTCTCTCTCTATCTCTTTCGATATTTTTACAGTATATAAACACGTATATTTGTATATGGCTGATTCTTTGTGAAATTCAGTGTCTAAAACGTTTTTTTGATAGCATGAAAGACTTGTTTTCGATTTCATGCTAATTGCTAATCTTTGAAAGCATTCCAACGGCCACAAAAAATACAAGAGAAAAATTATAATATGCTAAGATTTGATATTTTTTGACGTACTCCGTACGTTTTTTGATAATCTCGAACTTTCCCTGATCTTTAGGTAAATAATTTAGGAGATATTAGTTGTCACACTGAGGAAGCTCTATGAATTTTTTGGTGACGAAGGCTCCATTGAACTCGATTCGATTTTAACTTATGTTGCTCTCTGTAGCAACAAGATTTCTAAGGGGTTATATATAGTATTTTGTTTCTAAAAGTTTGAATGCATTCCAGTGAAAAAAATTCTCAATCTTTTTTCACACCTACGCTCATAAAACGGAAACTAAACTATTGGGATATTTCGCACGATTTCTCGTGCTACCTGCGTGCTGAATTCAACATACACATGCACTCACACTCACACACACGCGTTATAATATATTGTGCAAGTTCGCGTAATAGGAATCGATCTTAGTGTCGTCATAATTCGACAAAACACCTGTTCTTTCCGATAAGTGCCCATTGTAATGAACTATTTCTTATATAATAATATAAGTCTAACACTTTTATCGCGATATTGTATTGGGTATGAATTTTCGCTCGCTATTTCAACGTATAGAACGATTGGTAAATCGAATTAATGCCACGACTCATGCGATATTTTCGCAAAATTTAATTTAAAGATTCATCGTAATACTATGAGTTTACAGCAATGCACGCTTCAAATTTGAAATAATGGTACACCTATTATTATGGTTCAACCAAAGTGTCAGGTGTCAGGTGGCAAAATGAACAAAACTCACTTGAAAGTTAATGATTGATTAATTTTAATTAACAAAGGTAGAAGAATAACAGTGAAAGTAATAAAAGGCTGGTTCGCAGCTTGCTGCCTTATCTCAGAGCGTCTGCCGCTTGCGGCCTTGCTCATCGCTCGCTCGAGCCTATCTGACCGTCGCGTATGCCGTCGGGCCTGAGGCCACCGCGCGAGGCGCCACTGGCGGGCAGCGCGTGCAACGCGTACACACACACATACGTGCGAGCTGAGGCTGTGTTATGCGAATCCATAACACTATGAAGAGTAACATTTGTATTGTATTACAGACTCGTTTTGTTTCCATTGGTTATTCAAACTACCAAGTAATGCATTACCCCAGGTTTACTTATCGAGTGTTTACGGCTTTTGCCCGACCACTCATCTTTCGTCCAAAATCGTTCAGATCGCCTTTTAAATTAGTTCGATCACACCGCGCAAATTGATCAATCAGTAATTAGATGACGCTCTGTTCTCCATTTGAGATCGATAAACTTGTAAGTAAAATTATCAATAACATCAACCTGAAGATTATATACTACAGATTTCTCTTGAGAAACAATCAATTAACCACGAAGAATGTCGCTTGACTCGATACAAAGCGATCGGATCAATCATTTAGCCGACTATTTTATATCTGCATGTTGTATGACTTGTGCTTGGCAACTACATAGCGCAGCCTCCTAATAGCTGTCCGTACATTTTTTTGATAAGTTGTTTCTCGAAGTAATCGCGCTGCTCACGCGGAAGATCGACGGCTCACGGCGCATTCGAAGCACGTTCCTATCGAACCATGCTAGAAGCGTATGATATACGTACGGGGCACGTCTTCGTGTTATACAGACGCGAGAGAGTGAGAGAGAGAGACGACGGTGTAAGAACGCGATGATGGTAATCTATTATTCTGCCCTCGCGCTTATAAATTTCGCAAGCTCAAACTATCGATGAGTCTTGGATACATGAGCGTCGGCGGACCGACGATTCGCCAATCTCGATTTTGATTTTATCGTCATATCCTTGCCTTGTTCGTCCATACAATCAAAAGGAGACCACTTATGATTATTCAATTTTTCGGTTCAATTTATTAATAAACCGATTGTATTTCTATCAAACAGTCCGAATCAAAGCGCTACATTTTTAATAAGCAAATAAAAAGTACTCCCCGAGCAAATTTTAATAAAAATTCTAGATGTGAAACTAGCGCGATGGGTGCGACGACGTCAGCGACAGGAGTCGCAAAAATTATTCATACCAAAAATCGTGCTGTTTCGAAAGAAAAGCTATATGCCCGCGCCGAATCGTGTTTACAATAAATCTAGAGACACTCATGTTTCGTACACCCACAGCTACTGATTACTATAATCTTCATATAACATATGTGTAGCACACAACACGTATTTTACACACATTTATTCAGGCAGTTCTCTCGGCTCTACCTGCATTATTATGCCGTTACATCAGTGGAATGTATTTTTTTTTTCAACTTCTGATGTATACGAGGGAAACACGAGAAGGCCCACGATGAGTCTCCTTTTCATAACTTGTACCCTGCCATGGTCCTCGAGGATCAACATTCAATCGTCACACACGATCTCATGCGCTGGCTCTTTATTCATTTTCAACTAGAAATAAAACGACAAAAATTCCAAACATTACTCCCATGCTTATTGCTTATCTCAGTTTAATTATCAAAGATTTTCCATCGTGATTTTTGGTATAGTTTTTTCGGCTAAACAAAAAATGAAATTCAAAATAGCAGATGAAAAATTGCGAGATACTTATAGACATTGTTAAATTTTAACAACGATTATGGAGACACAACTCGATGAAGTGTGAGTTTTCTATGTGGCAAAGGCATACAGAGATATTATAAATTTGATTAGTAAGCAGAGTTACCTATTGAGTTAAAGAAAAAGTACAGTTATACTTATATGGTTTGATATTCAAAGATATCTGCTGAGTTGGTACAGAGATACTTACGTATTGGTCGGTAATCGGTATAGAGAGATACTTATTAGTATGCAGGGATAATGTTCGCATACAAAGATGATTTTCATTAAGTTGTTGGATTAAATAAACTTTACCTACTTATACTCATACTTGAAAAATCAATATAAATTTTTTTTATATTATAAGTGCAATGCAACAAATAGGCTGTTACTATTGTTACAGCTCGACGCTTCTATGCTGAGTATTCTGTTGTCGCAATGCTTCATTCGGAAGTAATTTTATACTGGTAACTCTTACAAATAATATTCATTAATAGCTTGATGATTTAAAATGTAAAATAGCGATAAAATCTAAATATCTAGAATATAATAAAAAAAATATACTAAAATTAATCTTCGTATTAATTAATATTTACGATTGTGTATCGAACTGCCATGTGAAGTACTTAGGATTTTAAGATTTTTTTCCTCGTGCTTTTGAAAAAGTGTTCATGCACCTAATATTGTTCTTTTTACAACTATTAGTTGAATAAAAGACCTTCGATATACTAATTCTTTTCTGTACTGAACAGATAAATTTTGATCATGCTCGTCCAATGAATTGTCTCATATTACCAATGTATTGTACATTTTAAAATGTAAACACAGAGTTGAATAATATACACAAACTAGAATCTGTGTGGATACATTCAGTGTCAAATTGATCGCAGTTACGTTAAATCAATTTTCTCGTTCTCGAGTGCGTGGTTACGAAGAGGCAGCTGAAGAAGAGAGTTTTTAGCGATCCCCAAGGGCTGATTCTGTCTAAAATATAGGCAAAAAAAATAATCATCTCCGTAAGTATGGCCTTATTACATTGCAAACACCGAGTACGAACAATGGCTCATAGATGGACGTTACGCACTCTCGCGTGATTCCCTCGTCTACGAGAGATGCACGGACGCTTTTTTTTCGACCAACGTGCACTCTTACCTTTCTCGACAACGAGAGTCGAATTAATAAAGGCGCACGCCTGGCGTTGCGCACTTAGGAAGTGTTCGTCTGTACTATTTTTTTTCACTCTACAGTACACTGTTTAGAAATTTATCAAAGATATCATCGAGGCATGATATCGTTTTAAATTTTAACACTCAACTTGCACAACATTGATTTTCATAACATTCGTGCGGTAAATACTCTCAGTAGTAGCTATTATCTACTTAGTCCGTTAACGAAGCTCAAAACCTTTTCGACTCTGATACTTGAGAGAGCAGAGAGTTTTAAAACTCCGGTCATCAAGCGTGTTGAAACGTTTCAATTTTTCTCATTATACTCCAGGGCAAAAGAAGGCTTAAATTTCAGAGAGATCTAGTTGTATGTGTATGCCGTAAACACGCTATTCTCATAATGATTATAATTGAGTTGCGAGGCTGTTGCAACCATCCCTCGAAACTGTCCGCGCGCCACTTGTAATAAATTGTTTGCAGTTCATTAATAACTTCATGCGAGCATTTGTCGAATTTGTACCGAAAATGACATAAGTAAGGGATGTGCAATCTTCGCTGATTTTTAATTACTAATAACTTGGAAAATAAAATATTTTATTTCTTAAATGATTAAATATATTAATTTCATTGATTAAACGAGATGAATTGTTGAATAAAAATTGTCTGATTTTACTTTGAAAATCTATTCGCATGCCTGTATCTTCATTATTGAATAATTTTAGCGACCTGTTGGATCTTTTTAAGATTTCTTACTATCGATAAAAAAAAACTAGGAATCTCGTTCTCTACTTTAAAACAAAAATATTTCACATACAATGAATGTGTATTCTCAAATTGATATGAAGATTTTAGTTAGAAAAATTTTTAAAGGAACTCGTTTTATGAAAGTGTACTTTAGGTACAATTCTGACATCTCGCATATGATGTTCACACTCTGCGAGGCTATCGATCTTTTTATCCATGGTATGCGAATATTTTCTCTAATATAATTTATCCTTATATTGAGAACTATGAACTTCAAAACATTTCTACTTGCTCGATACTCGAAACCTTGAATAATTTTTTTTCATTGCAGCGAACCATGTAATTTATTCCTTGGTGACTTTTTAACGTTACAGTTTTCTCGCGGTTTATACCACTGTTTTATGTCAATGTCAGATTAGTGCAATCAGTTTGATATCGTGCATGCTACCGTACAGTCCGATACACACATATAACATAGAAAACTCATCCTCCTCGAATTGACACTTGGCAATCAATCGCTCGCGATGTCTCGCACGAGATGAGACGAGTGAATTTTCAATCTCACTCCTTTGTCTCGCCTCTATATGAACAAAAACGACAGTTGCCAGACATCGTTCGAACGCAATTCTCTCCCGTACGTGCATCGTTCGCGTGCTCGTGTTACTATTGCGGCCTGTCTTTTCTTATTACGGCACGTATCGCGTTAATACACATCCATGCATTGTAAGGCTCGTGCCTACGCTTAATAGACTTTTTGAACGAAAGATGCTGCTCGGTCTCTCGGGTGAAGGGCGCGTATACAAACAGGCTGGACACGCGTATACGCGACCGTATTACATATTACGGCTACAACACATGCTAGATTTGCAGCAGCAGCACGCGAGCTGCAGCCTCGGAATGCTGAAACGAGCTGGAGGCTCCGTTTACGAAAATTCCATTCTAATTGAAGTTTATCGAGTTAACGTACGATGTGATGCAAATTTCCCGACCAACGATCCTTAAGCGCTCTACACCGTAATGTAGGACAGACTTGGTACATTTTCCGATTCTTCATACTTTTTGACATAATTATGCGCATTCTTCTTGTTTTTTTATAAACACATTCCTTAACTTTTAATTAATTCATGTATATTCTTAAATTTTAGATTTTCTGCGTAGATAAAATATTCTTGGATAATCAGTAAGGAAGGCTAAACTTTGTTGTATGCAAGCAAATGAAAATTACTAAACGAATTAATAAACATGGATCTTGGTGGGTTTGCTTAAAATTTCGCATTTTCAAAACATTTTCACGCATTAAATTGATTTTATTTATTTTGATATCGTTCAAGATGTTTCTACGAATCTGAATAAATCCATTCAGAAAGGAGAGTTCCAGGACGTACGCGATATATTGGACGTGAGTGGAGTGCCGCCACAAGACGACACGTGGGAGGATTTTCACATTTTGAACGAAGCCCTCAAGTACGGGCACAAGGAAATCGCTAATTTGCTGATCAGGCGGGGCTGCAAACGAATCAATATCACAGACGAGGACTTCACCGATGACACTCCTCTGCATCATGCCGTCGACACTTACGACCTGGAATTGGTGCAACAGCTCGTGTCGATGGGCGCGTGGCTCGATGCCGAGAACAAGAAAATGGAGACTCCCATCCATCGCGCCGGCAAACATTACTTGATTCGCCACGAGCCCGAACTGTGCAAGTACTTGCTGGGCTTGCACCTCGAAGCCGCAAGCTCCAACTTGCAGGATCGCAATGGATTCTCGTACTTTCACGTTGCCAGCGCCTGTGGCGACAACGACTCCATCAATACATATTTGGACTGCAACGTCGACGTGAATCAGAAAATACGTTCGGGAAAAAGAAAGGGATATACTCCGCTACACTTTGCAGTCATGTATAATCGCCTCGACACGGTCAGATTATTGCTAGACAATGGGGCCAGTGTGGAGCTGCCAAACGCTGTCGATAATTCGACTCCGTTGCACATGGCATTCGAATGTCAAAATAAAAAAATTACCGAAGAATTGATCTCGAGATTGGATAAAAACTGCAGTAATCTGACTAACAAACGCGGAATTTCACACTTCTTCATAGCGTGTACCACCAATAACACCGAAATTGTTCAACACTTCATAAACGATGGTGCAGAAATTTGCAATTACATCGACTACGCCGATTCAATTTACAAGGGATACACCCCGCTGCATTTTTCGGCACAATACGGGAGCATCGAAACAACCAAACTTTTATTGGATACAAATCCCCAGTGTTTGTTTATGGATACCGCACCTGTGGCTCCGCTTCATTTAGCATTTCGTTACGGACACAACGACATAATTGATCTCTTATTAAAAATATACAACACTGTGTACCAGTGCAAATCATCCCGAAATACATTTGATATTTCGCACTTGCATATTGCGTGCTACAGAAATAACATTGAAAATGTAAAAACACTGTTAAAGTTCAATCAAGCACTACTACAACAGAGGTTTTGGGAAAATTCCTTTGTCGGCTATACGCCGTTGCACGTGGCTGTCGAGCAGCAAAATATAGAAACTATTAAATTATTATTAGAGGATTGGGCTGAAATAGATGCCCGAGATAGCTTTGGATCGACTCCGTTGCATTTAGTTTGCCAAGGATCTCAAGTTGGTATCAAGATGTTGCAAAGAAAACTCTTGAAACTGATCAAAGCAGGAGATTTCGATAAAGTCATTGATTCGATTATATCTGCTAGCAAGCAATGGAAAATAATAAAATTATTAATGAGCAGCAAAAATAAAAATGTGAATCTAGTGGACAATTTTGGAAGGACTCCTCTCATGGAAACTTACAACAACAAGAATAATTCCATAATTCTCTCCTTGTACAATAATTTGGATACTAGACCGTTGGATAAAAAGAGAAAAAAGTTGGGAGAAATCATCTCCCTTTTAAATGTTAGACATAAATTGTTGGTGCAATGTCTCGTAGATCACGGAGCAGATTTGAATCAGCAAGACTCGTCCGGCCAAACCGTACTGCATTATCTGGCGAAGAAAAATAAAAATTTTGTGAAAATCGAGAAGGACCTACTGAAGATGTACATCGCCAAGGGAGCCGACGTTAATTTGACAGATTCCACGGGTCACACGCCGCTCTACTACGCGGTGTGGAACGGCCACAAAGCGATCGTCGACATACTGCTGAGGCACAAGGCCGATGTGAATTGGCCCGAGAGCAAATACACGAGGAGTCCGCTTCACGCGGCCGTGATCGCGGCTCGCTCGAAGCAGCACAAAAACGTCGACGATTACGTGGCCATAATCGAGAGTCTGATCGAGCACGGGGCCGACGTGTACGTCCGGACCAACAAGGGCCTGACGGGTCTGCACCTGGCGCTGCTGCGCGAGGGCAAAGATCGGGGCTACTTCCGCCCGGAGCCGAGTACCGTCAACTACCGCGACCGGGGCTCGCTGGCGCGCAGGATCTATCGCCACTTCGACGTGAACGTGCGCGACTACCAAGGCATGACGGCGCTGCACTACGCCTGCCTGGACCAGGACGTCTTCATGGTGCCTGCTCTGCTCGACGCGGGCGCCGATTTGAATGCCCTGGACCACAAGGGCCGAACACCCCTGACCATGTGTCTCGACATGAAAGAGCGTCTGTGCATCCACTACTTCTTCGTGAACCACGTGAAGAAGCTCGAGCGAATCTCGGCGCCGTTGATCGACAAGAATTTGCAGGCTTACCACGAGCTCCAGAACAGCGAGTACAAAAAGTTCTGTCTGGTGAAGTTGCAGAGTATTCTGGACGTCTGCGATTTCCACTACGTCACCGACGACGAGTGCAACGAGGAGATCGAGAAAATGATGTCCGTCAGAATCGACGACTTCGCTCGACTCTACGATCTCATTTTCATGAGCTCGAATCAATTGGTCCGTTATATGGAAAATGACACTCTTAGGCAAATTTTGTCCGATAAAAATTTGACCAAGAAGTACCCGCTTTATGGTTATTTACTCAAGTTGCAACACACCAAAGGGAAGGAAAGATTGCAACTGGTAAAATTTGTGGCCCCATACTTGATTAAATTAATAGGTGCCGAGCTACCGAAAAATTGTTACGACACGATAATTTATCATTTAAGCGACGAAAGTTTGTTGTACCTATACGACTGCAAAGAAAGTCAAGTACTTACCGAATGTAAAATCAAAATTTTATCTTAACTGTCGAATATTTTTTTTGTTTATGCGTCGATATTTGTTGACTTTTTTATTGGTAAATAAATTTTATCGGAGATAAATATTTTCAATATAATTTGTTTTTAAGATCATTTGCGTAAAATTATTCTAGTCCTACTAAAATTCAAAAATTTGACGAAAGATGTGCGTGCACATAATTGTAAACAAAATAAACCAGCTTCATTTTAACGCGCGTCATGATTCTGCAAGATTATTACAAAATCAGAATAACGCGTATACTCGCATGCATGACTTATCGATTAGATCTTAGATTTTTACACAAATTCATTATACACTAATAAAATCAAAAGTAATGCATTCATACGCACAGTAAGATTGAGCAAGCACAATCATATCAGTAGAAAGCTTGAGCTGACACTATGGCATTCGTATGAATTAAATGACAGAAAAATATTAATTGATTATAAAATATTGCGTTTCATGCAGCATGCAACTACTGAGTAGTTTTATTTGTCTACTTGTCTTAGATTATTTAAATATCCACGCTTAATAAAAAGTGAACTAATTGAAAAGTGAGCTGTCAGTGAGTACATACATTACATAAATACATACGAGGAGTGCGTTTATACACCCGTAAACACACAAGCGCAATATTAATTTATGAAGATTTATGAATAGATGTTTGGCGGATTTTTATCTAAATGTATAATCGTTCTGACAGCGCCTCTTAAAGTATCAGCGCGCCTTAACAAAGAGAATCTCGATTTCCCACAATTGCTATCGGCTCGTATCGTTAATGTACATAAGTACGCTTCACGCGCACGTATGTAATAATATATAAACTTTTCGAGATTTATTTTATTTGCCTAATGGCTCGAGCAATAGCCACGATAGGTGTCATTTCGATATTGGAAAATTAGTTTAGCAGCGGCGATTGCGTAAAGCACGTACCGCGCGCCGCGTGTACCCATGGAAGAGTCCGCATGGAAGAGAATTATTCACTGCCGAAAGACGTAAGAAATATCGTTAGCAGCATTACCCAGATCTGTACACGCGCGAGTTAATCAATCCCGACAAGAACTGCGAATCCACGAGAGTTCACGCCGTATAGGCATTTGTGCTTTTCCAAGTTAGTTAAATAATTGTGTAAACGAGTGCGCGGAGAATTCAATTCGTAATAATGCGCGAAACGATTTAAAATGTGGCCTATTGTCGATGGAATAATGTTTGAACTGCAGCCGAGTAGCAGCAGTTCTGTAACAGCAAAATCACGCTTGGAATAATCGCGAAAAGTGCATAGATCAACGCTTCCAGGTCGAATATAACGCGCCAACACCGGATACCCACTCACTTCTTCGAGATTCGTATAGTATAAACGCAGCTATCAGGGCAGTGCCATAAAAGCACGATCGCACGGGAGAATAAGCGAACAATCATATAGATTACATAATGCCTTGACTGAGGTCGAGTGCGGCCCAGAGTTCCTCGCGTGGCCACAACCATTCCCTTCACCCAGAAAAACTGCACCAGTTTGCACGCGGGTGAAGTGTATCGACTCATATACCTACGATGTCGCACAGGTGTGCTTGGCTTTGTGCATCTGACACTTGCTGAGCATTGATATTTGTTGATACGTTAATCCATATCAACCTTTCCCAGTACTTGCAATTTTACTTTCGAAGATTATCCCAGAACTTTTTACACATTTACTCCGAGTACATATTATTTTACTGCGTGTTATTTTAATTAGAAACAGGCTTGCATTTGAAAGTAAACAATCGTTCAAAATTAAAATAATTTATAGGCAAGAAATAAAGGCTTCAACGTCAGTTGGATAACAATGTAGAACAATTAAGACTCATGAAATCCGTGTCAAAGATGCGGATAAGCCTATGTATGCAAAGCTGCAGCGCAGAAATGTATGGTAGTATATACATACTGGCTTCGATTGCATAGCAAGGCAAAAAGAGAGAAATAAAGTGCAACCGTCAAAGTATGAAAGAAATTTCTCTCGCAGCTGCTGCTGCACACGAAATGCGCCTCTCTCATTGTAAGGAACTCATGGAGCAGCGGCAGCGGCAGCAAAGGCGTGGATGGAGATTAGCACACTTTATAAAAGGGCCGCGGCGCGCGTTAGAAAGTCGTACACACACGCTACACTGCCACGTATACATGCCCGTCTATCGCTCGACGCAGAGAGTCTCTGTTGCATCGGCGCCTGCTGCATTTCCGTCAATTATGAGTGCGAATCAATGTTATATGGCATTTGGCAAACTCCATTGTTTGGCAAGATTTTTTCTTCCTTTTGAATGAGCTCTGCTGCCGTTGGAGATCGATCGAAACCAAATGCGAGATGAGAGACGCTCAAGGTTGACCCTGGAAAATGAAACTGTCTACGCGTGCACGTTTATTTTTCATGTTAATTTACACAGAATGTAGAAAAGATTCCATTACACGTTTAGTCGATGTCAAGTTTATAAAACTTGTTGCTTTCTAGGCACTTGACGCAAATACATTAGTCAATATCTTTATGCATTATAACGGCGCATCCGCGCGGGCGACGTACGCCTCGCTTCTCGCTCGTAGATGCGCCGCAATGGCTCTTTTGCGTCTCGGTGTGCTCGTCGGCTTTACCGCACGTGCGGAGCGCCAGACGACCGCGAGGTCGTCGCCGACGAGCGCCACAAACTCTCGCTCCTACCCGAGTACCTGGCCGGCTAGCCCCGGTACCCCGCGACTCGCTCAGGGCTCCGCGGATCCGATGCAGCGCTAGGTCTGCTCGTTCGCGCCGATATATCGCGCCTACCTCCGCGTCCCGATATCTCTCGCGCCTAAATCCGGACGATATTACTCGCGTTCGCGAGGCCAAGAGGCCGGTCGTGCCGAAGCACGGGTCGCCTGAGGGCCTTGAGGCCGCGTCGCGCCGAACCCAGACGACGAGGTCAATCACCACGTCCTCTCTAACACCCACACACTCACTCACGCTCACACTTGCACGTGCAAGTGCTCGCAGACCCACACACCCGACGAGGCTGTTTGCTGGCACACCTATGCGCCACGCAAACACACACGTATCACAACGGTGATGTGGTCTGCACTCAACTCGCACACACAACCACACGAGCAAATTCTACTCACCAAATCGCTCTACTTCTCTCACACGAAATCGCACGAGGAGAGCTATTATCGTAACTGTACGATTCGACTGTCTCTCGCAGACCCGGCTCGCGAACTCGCGCGTGGCCGCTCACACTTCCCTCTCTCTGCGGCCCCCACGCGAGCCGCCCGTCCGGCCCGCAGACTACCGAATCCATGCGAGAGCGTCGCTCCGATTGTGAGTTCGACTCCGCATTGACCCGGCATGTCACAGCGGGCCGTTACGCGGCCACAACGTTACAACTCTCCCCCCCTTGCTGAGACCACCCTCGCAGCTTTTCACGAGGGTCGGTCACAGCAATTAACGCGACTCCAACACACGAGAAAAATCGAATTTCCCGTTTACGGGATGCACCGCGATCCGTGCTGGGCGAGGACAGCAAGGCATCTCGCCACGGCAGTGCGCCGGTGCATTTCTCCTAGACATCATCGTACGCGCGATCTATGTGCGCCGCGAGCCGCACAGGGCGAGGACAACCAGGCATCTCGCCACTGTGGTGCGCCGGAGCACATATCTCCTCGTCTTCTTCAGGACCGCAGGTTACCGTACCACGCGACACACGCTGGCGAGGACAAACAGGCTTCTCGCCTCGCGGTGCGCCGGTATTTCTCCGCGCTATTTCGCCAACTTTTCGTCGATCATGAGGAGGGCCTTCCCTTTGATGGTACGGGCCCGTCCTTCCAAACGCGCGCGCTCGCATCGCTTTCGTTGCAATAACCGGCGCGCTGCTCTGAACAGAGGCCGAGCGCTCGGTTACGCCACATGAACCCGTACTCGCGCATACATCGCCGTATTTGTTGCTGTCATCGCACAAGCTGTTCCGCTCGAGCTCCGCGCAGCAGGCGACGTTTTTACTCTTCTCGTACACTCGCTTAAATACCTCGCCGCTCGCATGAATTTCGTTTACGGTCGCGACCGACAATCCCGCGCACTCCACGAAAATATCTAATGCCGTATCGTTCTGTGCACAAAAATCATGCCACGGTCCACCATGTGCTCGCCACTGTTGTTGGCTCGTACACGTGTCAACTTGCCACAAATTTTTGAAATCTGCGCCGAGTATTATATCGTCATCCCCGTATGACATCGCTCGCCAACGCATCGGCTCGACACGCCCATCGATCCCTACCTCCACCGTCAGTGTGCCAATCGTCCGCGACAGCACTGGCGTGAAGGGCATCTTTATATTCGCCGATGTCTCGTGTAGCCGATCTCTCAACTTCTCCGCGACGCGAGGTCCAACTATCGTGACCTGCGCCCCGGTGTCATACATCGCTCGATACACCTCGCCGTTCACACGCACGTTGATGAAGTCCCTATTTTCATTCATCATCGCCGCGATTATCTCTTCTTCACGCGCCGCATGGCTGATCGGCGACTCACTGCAGTCGGCCGATGCTTGGTCAAGCGCTTGGCCAAGCCATTGCGGCTGCTCGCCGAGAGGCGTATCGTTCACACGACCTGTGAACTCAGCCTTTCGCGAAGCATCTCTACGCTCTACGCTCTCGTCCGCTAACTTCTCTCCGACCTCTCTATGTACCTCGTCATACATTCGCACACGTCTATTCCCTCTCTCGCGCGCGCAAGCTTCATCCGCGTCACAATAGTACGAGGGTGAGCCCGAGCTCACCGCCTCGCCTATCACCGAACTGGACGTGAATTTACTTCGCGTGATCTTCACACCACACGAGTCGGTCGCCTGCAAAGCTGTGTTTGCGTCGTCCGCTCGCGCTCGTCTCTTTGCCGGAGTCGGCTGCTCGATTTGAAGTTTCAAGTCGCCGACTCGCGCTTCGCCTCCCTCGTTCGCTTGTGTACAGACTGGAGTTGGCTGCGCGGCCTCACTCGAGTCGTGTACACGCAGCCCTTCGTCCCCTATCGTGGTTGAAATCGAAGCTGCGGAGATACATGGCTGCGCTGCGTCTCCGCGTTGAAGTTTCCCAACAGCTGTCGAAGTGCAA